GGTGGCTGTGTCTCCGACGATCATAGAGTTCTTAAGTTCCAACTCTGCTTCGTTGGAACTCTTATTCTGATATTGTGTCTGTCTGTTTCTGCTGTCAAGAATACTCGTCAGCGTCAGAACACGGAAGTAGCGTCTCTCAGAGTTAGCCGTCAGTCCAGGAATCCAGGAGTTTAGTGGTGCAGGCTGGTCGTACCGACATTGATCGGTTGCGGTCAACTACATATCTGCAAGGCAACGAGCACTGAAGTTAGCTCATATTTGTTGATACTATTCTCTGTATTTTCTTCTTCTCGGAATTTTGTGTTATTCTGTCTGTCTGCTTATCGGCTCCAAGGATACAGTTCAGGATTAGTTGAGTACACCGGTGGCAGGGTACGACTGGAGAAGATAGTGCCACCCTAGCAGGTCAATTCTTATCGTTCAATTTTTTGTGATCGCGTCGATATTGTTTTGGCTGGGAGGCCTTTTTTGTGATTGGGGTGCTTGTTAAAGTACAATGGCTAGTGCTACTCCTCTCCGTCCTACTAAACTTCAGGATGGTTTGAAAAAAAGGAGATTGGAGTTCGAATCGTCACCTTCGACGGACTTTTTGCGTGCGGCGGAGCAACTAACAAAGGACGATGCCATTCCGTTACACATTCGAACTATTCTGGCGTTTCTTCTAGAGAGCAAGAAGGAAATGGAAGTAGTGGTACAAAAGAACAGTGAGTTGGCAGCACAAATTAAAGCAATGTCCATGGAAATAAAACAGCTCAAGGAAGAGAATTTAGGCCTTCGTAAATCACTTGAGTCTTATAAGTTGTCCTGTTCTAGTAACAACATTGTTGATGAATCCTCGTCAATACGGTGTAAGCCCCTGAATAATTCTGATCAAGTTGTATCTTATGAAGAAGTTGAACGTAGGAGATCAATTGTTGTAATTGGAGTCCCAGAGAGTCGCAGTCAAAAAAGTTATGACAGAGTTTCTCATGATAGGTGTTGTGTTCAGCAGTTGCTGGATTTCCTGTCAGTTGATTGTTTGCCGGTTGCGTGTTATCGTATGGGTCGAGCTAGCCCAACTTTTGATAGGCTCATGAAAGTTGTTTTGCCGAGTTCTTTTTTCGCCACGTCGGTGTTGAGGAAGGCATCGCAACTTAGGTACTTTCCGCTCAAACGGGGGGTCTTCATAAGGCCATCCCTCCCCAAAGGGGAACGTGAACGGAGACGTGCTGAAAGGGCTGCCCTCCACAATAAGCGTGCCGATGTTGATGATGGTCATGTAGGCAATGTTAATGTGGTATCTGAAGCGAATGTTGATGATGCGTCTCAAGCCAATCGTGATTGCTGAGGTGATGAATGTTTCATCTAATTCGATGCGTTCGTCGTTAGTGTCAAATGTGTAGGCATTCCCCGGATGTTAAATACTGGACTAAAGTGTTGCTTAACTAATATCGTTCTGTTTCGAGAAACCTAAATCATCTCCTTTGTTTGATGCGGTATAGCAACTACGGTATAGTAGCGCTCACGGAAACTTGGCTAACTAGATCGGTTAGCAGCGAGTCGTTGTTTGGAGACTTTTGCTATCAGTATGAGGTCCTAAGGTGTGACAGACAAACCAGACGCGGGGGTGGAAACCAGAGACGCTGGGGGTGGTGTTGCGATTATCACAAAAAGAATGTATAGCCCGCAAGTAGTTTACAGTGAGTCTGTTGACGAAGCATATGAACTTATATCTGTTGACTTGGATATGGCTCTTTGCAAGGTTAGGTTTGTGCTTGCTTACAGATCTCCTTCATGCTCAACAGCCGCATTTGAGCAGTTGTTAAAAGCAATTGGAGATTTGATAGCCGGTATAAATACGTTTTTTGTACTCGGTGATTTTAACCTCCCTGATATTCCGTGGACTGATGTGTCCTATCCAAACCCCCCTGGGTCACTTGCACGTCGCTTCTTGGAAATGTGTGATTGTCTTAAACTATACCAAGTTGTCTCTGAAGGCACTCATGGCTCAAATATACTTGATTTGGTGTTAACGAACAATAAGGAGGTTGTGAAAGACGTTGTCATACGGGCACCAATTGGAAGTAGTGATCACGCCTCCGTTTTATTCAAACTTGATCTCAAGATTGAGGAGGTTGAGAAATTATCACTCCGGAGGGATTTCAAAAAGGCGAATTTCAATGATATCTTGACTTATCTTAGTAATGTTGATTGGTACGGATCCTTGAGCAACGTGGAAACGGTGAATGACAAATATGAGTTGTTTTTGCACATTCTTCATCATTCCATTGATTTATTTGTTCCAGTCGTTACCCATCAAGCTAATCATGAGCATCTACCTCAACATTTGGAAAGACTGAGTCGCAAAAAGAATTCACTGTGGAAAAAAGCAGTAGTTAGTGACAGTCCGGCCGCCTGGGAAGCTTACAAAGGAATAAGTTGTATATTTGAGAAACGACTGTATAAATTCCGTAGTCAAGTTGAAAAGAAAATTATCTATTCTAGGAATAAGAATAATCTGTATAGATTTCTCAGTACTAGGCTTGGCAAGAAAAAGGCACTGGGGATCCTCCTTGATGAAAATGGTGTCGTGATAACCAAGTGAGAAGGAGAAAGCAGAACTTTTTGCTGCTGTGTTCCATAAAGCGTACCTAGAGAGTGATGGTATCGCGGAGTCAGATGTCACTCCTGTATTCCCTGTTATGAAAGATTCTATTTGGTTTCATAGTGATGAAATCTACAAACTGTTAGTTAGCTGGCCAAAATCGCGGTCGATTACACCTGACCACATTCCTCTTGATTTTCTCAAAAAGGTGGCACATATAATTGCGGGACCGCTTGCATTCCTTTTTAATCTGAGTTTCATGCGAGCTGAGGTACCCATGAGATGGAGGCTGTCCTTCGTAACTCCAATTCCCAAAAAAGAACCGCATACATGTCCTCGTAACTACAGGCCAGTAAGCATAACATCGGTTTTTGCTAGGCTATTTGAAAAGCTATTGAAGAAAAGGATTGTGAGACATTTAGATGAATTTGGCGTTATCTCGGAACATCAACATGGTTTTCAGAAGGGAAAATCGACTGTTACTGCGATGCTCCAAGCGTTGAACGACTGGACATGTTATCTAGATAATGGCTTGGGAGCGGATGTTATATATTTGGATTTTGCTAAGGCCTTCGATAGAGTCTCTCACACTAAACTTATCACCAAGCTCACGCTCGTCGGCATTCATCCTAGGATTGTGGAATGGATCAAGGCTTTCCTTAGCGATAGGCATTACTGTGTTCGAGTGAATGATGCTTTCTCTGAGCCTAGGCAGGTGTTCAGTGGAGTCCCACAAGGAGGGGTGTTATCCCCCATTCTCTTCAATATTTTTACGTATGAACTTCCACGTTTGATCGCTGCAGAAGGGGTAAAGTGTGTTGCATTTGCGGATGATTTCAAATTATATCACCCAATCTCGGACAGCTCTGGTAGGGAACTGTTGCAGAAAGCTATTGACTCAGTCTATACTTGGGCTGAGCAATGGAAACTTCCCATCTCTGAAGAAAAAACTAAGGTGCTTCATTTAGGCAAAGTTGTTGTCACTCCTCTTTATTCAATAGGTGCTGTTCAGTTAGAGGTTGTGAGTGCTATCAGAGACTTGGGCTTCCTCGTTCGAAGCGATCTTTGTTTTGATGAACACTGTTCTAAGTTAGTTTCCAAGACCTTGGCGGTAATATATAACATGTTCAGAGCTTTGACAACAAAAGATTCACTGGTGCTGCTGCGGGCATACAAAACTTATATCAGACCATTATTGGAATATGGTACCGTTATTTTCAATCCGCATAAAGTCAAAATTTCCAAGGCACTTGAAAGGGTGCAAAACAGTTTCACACGGAAAGTTTTTCTAAGGGTTGTGGGGTTCAAGTATGATCAAATTCCAGACGGTGTAACACGCAATGCCAACCTCAAACTCGAAAGCTTAGCGCTAAGGAGGAGGAAATTTGACCTACTCACACTTTTCAAGATCTTCCATGGGTATTCCGCGCTCAAACCTAATAGTTTTCTTGAAGTTAAGAATTCGGTGACTAGGGGAGGCTCCAAGAAAATGTTGGTAGGAAGAGCCAAGCGGAATATTAGGCGTCATTTCTTCGTCAATAGGACATGTTCGGAGTTGAATAGACTGCTCAAATCGGGAGCTAATATTAACAGATTGAGTTCTTTCAAAGCAGCCTTGGAAAAGTATTTAACATGCTAGTTCTTGTTTTTCCTTCACTTCATGTGCATTTTTATTTGTATGGTTTATACTCTCGTCTAAAACTACCTCATCTCATATCGGTTTAGTTCGAATTTCTCGCCGTTATGTTTTGTGGTGTTGTTTTTTTGTGCCTAACACATGGGGTTATACCTGTGTAATAAACAATTACAATTACAATGTCTGCATTGCTCTCCAAAAATCAATGACCAGGTAAGAAGGCGACAAAAGGAAAAGCTCGAATTCTGAACGAAAGGAAAACGATAAGGATTGCGGTTGTAAGCGCGTATTCGTTGTTTACAAAGCTTGTAAAAGCTTCTGACATTCCGTCCATCAAGAAACTACGACCACTTCTCCGTCTCTTGTCTTGAGCGAGTGCCCTCCAATTGTGCTTGAAGGCATGCCCCAGGATCGCACTGGTGTGGCTCTTGCACACGAATGTGAATGTATCGGTGCCAAGTGGGCCGGCAGTGAAGAAAAAAGGAAAAGAATCCGTCGAAAACGCTCAGGTTGAGGGCTCACTCACCTTCCTAATTGGCTGTGCTAAAGGAACGAGAGACTAAGCGCGAAGAGGAGAGGCGAGAGAGCGCATCAGATGAGAGAGCACCAGACAACAGCCTGATAAGAGAGCTCGTTCGCTGCAGCTCGAGCAGCTTACTTTGCAAGCCCCAAGCGCTCTTGTCGGTCGTTTCCGTGCACGTGAACGCCACATTTGTGATTGTCCCCTAGGGTTCTATACTTCTGACCGAAGAGAAGCGTTCACACGACCTCTGCCTGGGTTGTGCCTTTAAGGCCGATGTGATGTGTTTACACACCTTGCTAAGGCGTCCAGCACAAAACCCTGATTTCTCCCAATCTACCGACCTCCTATTTCTCCAAGTCTACAGAATGAGCTCTTAGCATCGATTATATTAGGTCTGCCATAATTTTTGAGACTTTTTGGTGTTTTTCGATTCAATTACTTATCTTATTTCTCTGATGTATTTATTCAGCATAGTATACATCACCATTATTACCAACATATAACCAATGCGAGGGTGGGTATTCAGTGTCTCTTGTAGAATTTCATAGAGTTCTGATCGAAGAAATATTGGATGTCGATTTTGACTTTATGGTGATTCAAGTGAGATTTCTTCTCCAGAAGGTGATTGAGAGAGGAGAGCGGATAGTCGTTCGTTGGGCACAAGATTAGTGCTACAAGGCGGAGCTAAAAGAGACCGAGAGTCTCCAATTTTTTATGAATTTTCTTAGCAAGGTGGGCTCGAACGACCTCAGAAAAAAATAGATTTTGTCTTCCTTTGCTTTCAATTGAAGGTGTCGCCATCAAGCTGTCGAAGATTATCTTCTTCACTGACACTGGCATTAGACGGCTACTCCAGAGCAAAAAAGTAGGTCTCAAAGAAGGTGGAATTCCAGCTAAAAAAAGTAACAAGCAAACGAGTTGGCTAGCCTGTCGGATAGGCGAGCTTGTGTGCTAGGTTGCAGGACATCTTGGAAAGCTTCAATACTTATCAAAAGATTTTTACAACAATACATGTAAAGTGTCTCAAAAATTATGAACCTACCTAATAGTTGACCTCGCATATGCGATGCCCGTCGACAACGGTGGAATCAATCATGAAGCTTAAGAATGATTGATTCAGTCACACCGGCGATTCTCCCCCACGGGAAAATTCCTCTCAATTCTCTATGCCTTATCACTTATCAATTTGGTAAAGGCAAGATTCGGGATAAAATAGGTGTGGAAAAGCGTTCAGTTATGAAGCTATAGGTGGGAGGTGGTCTGGAAAAGAGAAGGAAAGCAAACGAAACCACCGATTACGCCCCGACAGAGACCTCCCCTATTTCAGCCACATTCCACCTTGGGATAGAGAAGGGGCGGACGAGTTTCACGAACCTAACTCTAGTTGCTCCAGTGCCAATAACATTGGACCGCTGCCTCAAATGCGCCCGCGCTTTTCAAGCAGCGCCACGTGGCAACCGACAGCGGAGGGTGGGGCTTGCGGACGAAGGTGTGGTTGCGGGTCGGACGAGCTCCTTGCGCCTTTGTCGCGCACTTTCAAGCGGCAAAAGGGGCGCGACATCAACGCTTGTCCTCCGCCGGGATGGAACAGGTGAGCGCGCCTGATCCCGGAGCGTGACTTTAATTTTCCTATTCACTACGGCAAGGCTTTAGGTATTGTACTGTTAACTCCGAATAGCATTTCCTATACCCCGCTCTCTTCATCCGATCATGAAGGCATTCGCCCTCTTAAGTTATGTCTGTGTTCATTAACCAGAGTCACATAGTGTCACCAGGGGTTACAGTAGCACGGACAAAGAAGCCGTATCACGTCACCTCAGGCGCAAAGCCTTTCGCAAATGATGACCCATTTTGTTAACATCTTAGCAGGCAAAACTCTAGGATCAAGATATTGGTGAAAAGTCTGGCACAGAGTGCTGGATAAAGGCAGTTATGTATCTGTATGTTTTGTTGATTTTAAAAAAGCTTCAATTCTATCCCTATTTCATTACTGCTCAGTAAATCCGGAAGTTTTGGCATAAGTGGCTGTTTATTGCGCTCCTTTTTGAATCAAAGAACGCAGTCGGTTGTTATCAATCATGCACGGTTCGACCTGTATCCCACCACCAGCGGTGTGCCACAGGGTAGTTGTATCGGTCCTCTCATGTTCCTGTTATACGTAAACGACTTGCCATCTGTCCTCCACCAGGTGTCTCTATAACCATGTATGCCAACGACTTTAAGCTATTCATCATCAAGATGGGGCTGATATATCGAGAAAGAAAACTACTGTTATGTGTCTTGGGAAAAGTCATCCCGATGTCAAATTTGAACTTAGTGGCTCCATCCTTAAGCAGTCACACTGCATTCGCGATCTCGGTGTCACTTATAGTGACAGCCTTGATTTCGAATGCTTTATATCTGATATTGTGGCTAAGGCCTCTTCTAGGTCCAACTTTATCTTGCGTGCCTTTCAAACCCGTGACCCTGTTCTTCTGTTTAAGCTCTTCGCTGTTTACGTGAGGCCTCTTCTTGAATACTGCTCCACTACGTGGTCCCCTTATAAAGCTTGCCTCAATGACTGTTGAGAAAAAGCGTTTCACGTAGGGAGTATACAGAGTATCATTTAAAAATCGACTCGCCCGTTGATGCTCTTACATTAGAGGATCGAAGAAAGATCGCTGATTTTGGCTTTCATATTTAAAATAATATCGGGTGAAGTAGATTTGAAACTCTCTGACATATTTCGTGTCTCTCCGTTCAATGGTGTCACGAGAGGCCATCCTTATCTGCCTCGACAGCTCTGTTACAGCGTCATATAAAGGTTCGTTCTCTTGTCGAGTTGTTCTTCCTTGGAATGACTTAAGTGAAGACTTCTTCAAATTCAGGAATGCTTCTGCGTTTAAGAAAGCTATAGCGAACGTGTTCAAATATCGACTGGATATCTGAAACCCCAGAATAGGCCGTTTCTATTGAATTCGCTCCTTAATCTATCGACTGGCAGTCTTAAGGACTTCGCAAGCGACACTTCTCACGATAATATTCGCTTGTGCACTGTCCATCTAAATAATCTATCGTACATTTGTCTGGCGTCTCCTGTTACGCCTGTTGAGGACCCCTCCTTTTCCGAGCTAGCGTTTGGCCCCGGTTCTGCTTGATATCTCTTTGCTGTCAGATAGATTGTTCAACCTCATCTTACTGAACCGCACGTGTGCTACACTACTGCCTAATTTGAAAAAGTGGGCCTGGGGCCGGATCGTTAGGGATAGGGAATACCTAACATCCGAAAATCTCGGTCCTCAGGATTCGGCATGCGTGCCCCTGTGCCCGAGTCGAGTGGTGTTGTCCCTAGCACCATCCACTTTGTCGTTTATTTTGTCAACGTTCATACGAGCAGTAATGTGCACTTTTTTCGTTCAGTATTCTTTTTTCCATAACCGCTTCTTCAACGAGCCCTTACTGACCAATCTAATATAACAGAAAGAAAGGTGCCTCAATCATCTGTTCGGTGTCCGCTTGATTAAGTACTTTTTTGTTGCTTCCAATTTTTCTTATTTCGTCTTTTTCCCGGTTTTACCTCAATTTATATGTCAGTTGATTGCTATTAAAGGAAGTGGTCACGATAATTCTCATAGGGACGATAAGGAAAGCTGTGTACTGGAGTGGATAGGGGTCCTGCCCAATGTTAGAACACGTGAAGTTTCAGTGGCAGTGGCGCCTTATCAACGGAGTGATAAGGCGCCGAAATCCACTTCCGTTCAGCAAAAACCAAGACTTATCGATGTGGAAAGGGGTGCGATAAGAGCGTGCTAGATATGATACCGTTATCGTTATCGTCCCGTTTTCATTCTGGAGTGCACCTCTTATCAAGCAGCCGCACCTTCTTATCTCATCGTATCATATCTTCCATGGGCTTACACTCGTCCAACAATTACTGCCTCACACCTTATCGATTGATTGTTGAACGAGTAACTATGCTGGCATAATGCCAAAACGCTAAACGGCGATCCTTTCCTGCGCTGGCCCATTCTCTCACCATCATCACCGTTTTTATCGTATGGATGGGTTTTTTTCGTTTTTGAGGAATAGGAATCAATCTAATAGTTGTTCTTCTGAATTTTCTATTGAATATCTCCTTTATTGATTGATTTTGTTCGTGCATTGGTGTTGTCCTCCATATAATTGATGTTTTCTCTGCAGAATGTATCTATTTAGATCCGGCAATGATTTCCTGTGCATACTTGCGCTAATATCGCATCTATAGTATCTTTTTCTTCTTAGTATTTCACTGAGACTCGTGCTTTATCTAGATTTTATTGGATCTGGCTTATTTTTCCTATGAAAGACTTCATTACTTATTGCGCTCATCTCTACGAGCATTTCGATGGATTTTCGCAGAAAACTTGCAATGATTATGCAGGTGGCAGGTGCAGCAGCTCATGCAGTCAAGAAACTAAGATCGCCAGTGTGCCCTTGTCTTCACACCTGACGCAACTTCTAGAAGTTATCACACCTCCACTCCTCGTCGTCGTCTTCACACTCGAAGTGCTTAGTTCCGCTTTTCCATGGCTAAACGTTGTAACTCTCACAACACTGGCATTTCCGAGTTCCCTTATAGTTTACCTTGAATCCCACGTACTCTGCATTGCCTGAAGGGTAGGCATTCATTATAGCTACCCTTACACATGCCGGCAGCTCATAGCGCTTGCCCATCCCCAGAATTCCGTAAGCCCAGGACACGAACGAGCGGTATGCATAGTACCGATAGATTCTGAAACACGGAATCTTCTCTGAATTGTCGCTGTTTCAAACCTGCCTTACCTACTGGTGTCCTCTTTCGGCATATCCCTGTCTTTCTTCTGTCTCTCAAATCGTCTTCTCTCCACCCATACAGACAGCACCTGCAGAGAATAGGACAACATCTATTCTGATCTAATTTTAGATAACGGACGACTGCTTCAGTTCCCACTGCCTTCAGCTGTGCCTTCCCCAATCGGTTGCCGCATTGAGGACAAAATCGGGTACATAAGCATAATGCTCTGCACAGCGAAAAATTTGTCCATGACGGTCTTATCCGTCTCCTTATACTCTTCCGTTATATTAGTTGAATTTTAGTTATTTGGCTCGTAATCGGAGCCACTGTTTGTTGTAGTCCCCTGCGCCATCACCTAAACCCACACTCAATTATGCAGAAATGATAAAAAAATGTTCCAAACCTGAAAGCCTCGATCGGATGCACTATCATAGTTGTCATCACTATCATGTGCCACCACGTTCCCTTCACTATCCGTTTGAACTTCAGCCGTTGGCTGAGAAACGTCTGAGGATTTGTCCAGTGCTGCATTGGATGCAGCCCCTTCGAACCCCTCCTGAAATTCCGATTATTGAGAATGAATGAAAAGGTCCGATGTCCGCGGAGCCATTATGAGTGCCTTCTTCTGGTTAGCTTGGCTTCTCTTGGCTATCACGCGCGAACTGTGAACGTGACCTAACGTGTGGTGCATGTACCTATCCTGCGCACTACACGTCAGACCACGTCCACAGCTATTTTTATCCTCCGCTTTGGTGCGCGAATTCAGGTCCTCATTTATAATTCCTAACTAGACAGATATCTCTACTGTGCTGGTGACACCGTCCATGATCCGTTAGACGTATCACAGAATCACAAGTGCCGCGATCAATACTGCGAGTTGCTCTCCAGTATTTATCGCTCCGCCATTAATGCTTGAGGGCAATGGTTGATTGACGAGTGCTCATGATTCCGTTGTTTTATATTCACTGTTTCAGCTGTTCAAATAGGCACTTGCGATTTTCGCCATTCGCGCGAATCGCGCGACGGATCGCGGACTGTGAAACCAGCCTTTACCCACGATAAGCCGAAGTCCGAAAAACAGCACGACAACTTCGTCAACTTTGTTTCACTTTTTCAATTTCCATTCCCATTCTTCCCCATTCCCACGCTCCTGAGTTTGAATGCAAGCAACACATAAGAACACTGAATTTCATTGAGAACCATTAAATATCTTTTACTCGCTATCGCCGCTCCTGGCAGCAATACTATGTATAAAGAGCAAGCGACAAAACGTCTAACATAACAGAATATGGAACCAAACAATTGGGCAATGAGTACTCCTAATTATATTCGTACTCTCTTCGTACAGAAGAAGGCACTCATAATGGCCCCGCGGACATCGGACCTTTTCATTCATTCTCAATAATCGGAATTTCAGGAGGGGTTCGAAGGGGCTGCATCCAATGCAGCACTGGACAAATCCTCAGACGTTTCTCAGCCAACGGCTGAAGTTCAAACGGATAGTGAAGGGAACGTGGTGGCACATGATAGTGATGACAACTATGATAGTGCGATCGAGGCTTTCAGGTTTGGAACATTTTTTTATCATTTCTGCATAATTGAGTGTGGGTTTAGGTGATGGCGCAGGGGACTACAACAAACAGTGGCTCCGATTACGAGCCAAATAACTAAAATTCAACTAATATAACGGAAGAGTATAAGGAGACGGATAAGAATTCTCGCTGTGCAGAGCATTATACTTATGTACCCGATTTTGTCCTCATTGCGGCAACCGATTGGGGAAGGCACAGCCGAAGGCAGTGGGAACTGAAGCAGTCGTCCGTTATTCGTTGTCTGTGTTCCGCAAAGAAATGAGAGAGCCAAGATCATGTCTTCCAAACGAACGGATTCTTAAAGGAAATGTTGTGGGAGCCGTATCTGCGATCACTACCGGCGTGCGATAGCGGCGTGGTAAGTAGAAGAAATCACCTCGTCCAAAATACTAAACACTCACTTATTGTAACTTTAGTAGTCGGCACAGAGCACATGAAGCTGGCCTGTTCTCTAGGTCTCATTTCTATAGAATGTTCGGTTGGACGAAACCAGCCATCAAAAGGGTTACGCCGCCCAACGAATCGATGTGCTGGAAAAGCCTAAGGAAGTGCGAGATAAAATACCAAATTTACGATATGCTGCATGGCAAAACCCTTCAATGAACACAGGACGCAGGGAGCCCACATTTAGCTGCCGATGGCGCATACGACGGTGGTTACGCCCTCATTCAGGATATTGTTGCAGAGTCGCCTCTAATTGTTTCTACTTGAGCTGCAACCATTCCGAGGACTGCAAAGATGAAATGTTTCAATCTTGCGCCCTAATCGCAACCGCAGTAAAGGATGCGGGCAGGTTCAGACAACTCGTCCAGCTCCCCTTCATTTCTGAGGGGAGAGGGGTCCCTGTTTGAAGTCTTTCATCAGCGTTGTTTTTTGCTTTTTTGTACCAGTAGTCCGCTTTCCACCCACAACGTCATTATCGACCGTTCCGAAGAGGTGCACTGTGGGGAATCCACAACCAGTCAGATTGTGTACGAAGTTGCAAACGCAATAAATAGCGGTGAGACAATCTAGCAGCACTACTTAATAGCATTTTTATGGTGTTGCAGCTTTGGACAAAGGCGCCGCTAGGCATGGCCTTAAGCGCAAGCCGCGGTCACGGCTAGAAAGCGGATGCATAATCAGAAGCATAGAAGTGATAATCATCAATGTAGTCAGGTGTATTCTATTGACCTCATTCAACAGTAGTGCTCGATGGATGGTCTAGTCAACCTTCGGCATTCTGTGCCATTTACCCATACTGTAGTACACAATGCAGCTGGAGGCGGACGATGCGATGAAGGTGGTACGCCATTGCTGGTAAGCTAGATACTGCGTTATTGTAGTGAACACACAGAAGCCACCGCTGCAGGTGCTGCATAATGTCTTAGCAAGAAGACATGGGGCACTGCAAGTGGTGGCTCGCTTTTTTGTTCCCACCCGCCATCTTGACGCTTTCGACAAATCGACAAGGGGGAAGAGGAAGCCGCAGTGTTGTTAAGGAGCAGATTCGGGCTCACTTTCACAAAATGCATGGCCCCACTTTAAGAGTTGTTGTTTGAAGTACTGCTCTCTATGAGTTAAAATGACAGTTCTGAAAAGACTCCATTGAATTCAGAGAATGCGAAAACGACTACAAACCTCTCATGTTCTCCGGTTCATCGATATTCATACCGACTGATGCATCTTTTAGCACCACAATATTTAGCAGATGCATTACAATACTGGTTTTTTTCATCAAAAAGAATAAAGAAGTTAGCTTGTTCTTCCAAAAATGTAAACCTACCATTCTCTCGAGCAATCTCCGAAAAATATATTGCAGGTAAGAAAAATGGATCGATATACTGCTGAAAGAAACTAGAACACTTGTTCGTCGTAATTCCCTAGGGGTCGCCATTGAACAAAAGTATCACATATAGCCATAGTTTATTTTTACATGAGTGTACATGTTACATGAGTGAGCGTCGCGACTCTCACGATCAAGCTGAAAACAATAGAAGTAGAACAGGTAGATGTGATGGAGATCGCACAGAAAGCGAGTGATATAAAGGGCCGTGGGTGGTCGCTAGAACATTTGCCGTTTCACTCTTGCTGATTGTTCCTTTGTTGTTACATTTTTAGGTGAAAATGTAGTCCGGGAGCCACTCATAATATCTAATCAGGGGGCAATATCTTATCGAAGTGGAATTGCGGAAGGGCGGTCATATCTAATCAACATTCAGAGCATCTGAGTGTACGATTAGATAGGGATACCAACCGGGATTCCGTACAAAATCGGATACCTGAAAGGCCCTTTCGCCAAGGGCTTGCATGGCAATCGCAAGAAGGGTTGGTGAAAGTCAGCAAGGTGACAGCCGTTTTCGCCATAGGACAAGGGTAACAAGTGTGACGAACTGGTCGTTTGCCGCTTACTCAGTGAAAGATATGATAAGATGAGTGCCTTCCGCAACTGTACTTGATTAGATATGAGTGTCTACTACTCCACTTCGATTAACTTCGATTAGATAGAGTGTCCCCCCGAACTGCATTTTCACTCATTGTTATGCATTGTTTGCCTGACGACAGAATAAAGTTATTGTCGAAATGTTGCGCCGTGTATCCGGTGAATTATTGTTTTGCGCTTGCGACGGTGGTATCATACAAGTGAATCGACCTAGTGGGGTTTATAACCACGTGCCGACAAAACGAGAGACAGCTCCATAACGAGATAGACCACACCATTTTCAGTGGAAGGCTTGACCTGACCTGACGTCGCTGTTGTTCCAAAGTTCTACACAATATCAAAGCATAGTAAGATTCCACTTCTCGATGCGTGTTGAGAGAGCAGCAAAGTTCAAAGCCTCGAGGACAGTCATCAACTGGGACCACTTCGCTTCCCTTGTCAGCTTATGGGAGGATTCCGTCATCGAAAGGGAACACTATCGGCTCGTTGAACATCTTCACGATAGCGGTGGGATGGCAGATGCCTAAGTCACCAAGGGACGTCTGTCCGAGAACTCTCGAAGCTGATACGCCAGCGTGGAGCCGCTCGAGGCAATCACCAAATTCACTGTCCGAGCTTGCAAAGCTATGCAGAGAGGCGATAAAGGAAGATCTCAAGGAAGCGAAGAGCAGCAGTGCGAGCCGAAGCAGTAGAGGCTGGGAGCGCATTTCGCTAAGATGACCCGTCTCCGACGTCCGGATGGAACAGTTACTGCATCCCGAAGGGCAATGGAAGAAAGTCATCCACGACTTCTACTCGGATCTCTTCGATAGCCATGTCCATCTGCCTACTTATCGCCTGCAACAGTAGGAATACGTCGTTTCATTCAGAGTCCGACTTGCCATAATTCGGTGAAGAACCGTACAGCACCCGGTCTCGACAGGGTTAAACCGGAACATCTGAAGAACGCACCGCCAGTTATCATCAAAACTCTGGCTCGACTCTTCACGCGCTACCTGTCGGAATGCAAGGTACCCACTCCGTGGAAAACCAGCAGGACCGTGTTGCTGTACAAGAAGGGAGACCTGGACGACATTGGCAACTATCGCCCAATCTGCCTGCTGTCTGTAATCTACAAGCTATTCACTCGAGTCATCCTTCAACAGGATCGGCAGAATACTGGATGAAGGACAGCCATGCGAGCAAGCAGGGTTTGGAAAAGGATCAGCCATATCCACGAGGTTACGGGACTTACTGAAATTTTACGAGAGTACAAGATGCTTTGTCCTAGATTCACGACTTGAAAAGGCCTTCAGCTCTGTGGAGAGCGCTCATCGAAACTTTAGACAATCAGGACGCACTCGTCATTACATAAGGACTCTTCGTGAGTTCTACGCAGCAACTAAACGACCAAAATTTTACAAATCTACAAGGTGGTCGTCATCTACGTCAAGAGTGGGGTTCGACAAGGCGACGCCATCTCGTACATGTCTTCAGCGCCGCTGTCAAAAGCCTGCTGCGTGAAGTGTGGGAAGGCATGGTAGTGACGGTTGACGCCCTGTCACTACAACATCTTCGTTACGCTGACGATGTCGTCTTTAAAATCCCGAACAAAAGCGCTTTTTTATGAACAGTTTTGGTGGAGAATTAACTACCTTTTCATAGTTCAGCTTTTGAAGAGGGTCGTTTCATGGACTTCGGCCTCTGGGGAGGGGAGGGGGGGTCGTATTTTCCAAATTTTCCCCGACGGTTGGCTCGACCGTGTGTGGGAACAACATCTGCGATAGTGTGCACATGTTCTAGGAAGACTGGTGGAGCAGTACGAAAAGCAATAGTTTTGAAGCACAAGGTAAGCGACCACGAATGCACCAAAGAAGAGGTGGAGAGACGTCACCTAAAAAGAACCTCACTTAAGTCCAGGCCATGGCAGAATGCCCTAAGCAGAACAACGTGGCGACTTCTGACAAAGATGACAGACCCCTCCGTCTGCACGGGATTAAGGCTAGAGAGAAGAAGAAGAAGCCTCAAGCCCCACTAGCAAAAAGCTAAGCCCGGTTTCAATTGGAGTTTGTTTACGACTATAGTTTGGCTAGAGTTTTGCATCTGAAGGAATTTCAATCCGTAGAACACGTTATTACATCGGTTGAACGAAAAACGTATCGCGCTTGCAGCACAGACCGTCGGCGCTATTAACTTTGCTTTGGCTCGGGTCTGTGACTCCGCTCACAAAAAGCTCACAAAAACCTCACTCGCAACGAAGCAATGAATATTTCTACGGGACAAACAACCCTTGACGACACGTTTTCAGCAAATTTAGTGACCCAAGGTGTTCTGGCGCCTTTTGGCTTCAGCACATGTGACGCGAGTTCCCCTCCTTTCGCGTTAAACGAATGAAAAATTCGTACCCTACTAACTTTCTAGCCAAACCCACAGCCTTGGACACATTTCGATAAAAATTCGGCTCAGTTTCTTCGGGTGGAGGGGAAATAAATTTTTTACACCCTAACGTTGGTCAATTGCATGAGTGAAGTAGTTATCATCCGTTCAATCCTTGTTTACCCTCTCACTATCCATGGCAAGGGTTTTCATGACTTCTTTCGTCGGAAGCTATCACTCATTCTTTCGTTCTTTTCGCTTAATATGTGTCTTGGTTCAATAGTTCAAGTTCTTGCATAGACATGAAAGCCTCAACGGTTGAGAGAAGGCTAGTCATCGGCGCAAATATTGGTTAGTTGCGTCATAGAGAATCTATTAGGTCGCAACGAAAGTCCTGGCGCATTTCTTCAAAGTCCTGACAAACGGCTGCGCATTAACCTGGAGGGGAAATTTTTTAACCATATACAGGAATGGTAACATCCCTTCATATTTCCGAGTCTCACCTCCTGCAGCAGGGTCAAGCGAGGCGTTGAGGAAAATTTGGAAATACGACCCCCCCCCCCCACCACCCTCCGCCGGAGGCCGAAGTCCATGAAACAACCCTCTTCAAAAGCCGAACTATGAAAAGGTTGAAAAGCTTGTTTAATTCTCCCCCAAAACTGCTCATAAAAAAGCCCTGCTACCCCACCGCCCACAAAAAAATTCGTTTAAGAAGTACAAAAGTGAAAAAGTCAAAGAATAATCATTATTGATGAGTCCTACCAAACGAGCAAACGAGAAACAGACCAGAAAACGACAAACTAGCCAC